TAAGAGCTCAATACTTAAAGCTGTTTGAAAAAGGCAGACCTTTGAAAAATGCTACATGGTAATCATTGACTTTATTAGAAATGGAACTACTAATTTCCAATCCCTATGTATCACATGACCAATTCAAACTTTTTATCACCTCCTTGCTTTCATAAGTATTATTTCTATCTATTTAAAATCTTTATTTCCTTTAAGATTTTCTTTACTACAGTATATAAATTAATTGAATTTATTTGTTCTCATCATTTAGGTTTGTTTTCCTGAAAAGGGGAAAATATTTGAAGAATAATTTAATTAATGCTACATATTTTTTCTATGTATGCAACAACAATAATAACAAAACCCCTACATTATCTCTTCCACCAGTATTTTTGGAATTTAGCTAAAGGACATTTTGCATCTTAATGAGTGAGCTCAATTGTAGTTTGAGTTCTGTACACCTAATACAATCAGCATAGCTCAAAAGAAGGTAATCATACAGAAGAAAAAGCCAGATATAAACTGAATGGCAAGAAGCAGTTCTATACATCCTGCTAACAATGTACACCATGGGCCTAAACTCTCAGAGAAGTTCTCCACTATCACATCCATTTGAAGTTAATGGGTGTTTGACACCCCTGGAACTGAGGCCCCAGTATAAGCAACTGATAGACATCTCAAAGATCCCAGTAAGAGAAAGAAAAAGCATAGTACATTTATCAGTAACTTTTCTGGAAAGGAAAACTTTTGCTGAAGTGAAGTGTTGTCACATGGACATTGATAAGATGCCCATGGAGTCACTTAATGCTCTGGGAGTGCTCATCAGCCATCTGTTCATTGACTTCCAAGCATCTACGTGAGAAAGGTCTGTGCATTGCTTGGGATAGCTTTGTTCAGGAAGCCATATGCAACAAGGCTTTTATAGCACCCAAGAAGCCCAGCGAAAGCTAATGGGCAAAGCACTTGCTGTACTGTCAGTGTGACAAGTGATGTGGAGGCAGTTGAGTTGCCCTGAACATTAGATTAAAAGGCTGTATCTTTGATGCAGTTGAGTTCCTCCCTGCAGCACTACCACACGCTGTCACTGCAGAAATCACACTGTTCCCGGGCTTCAGTTTAATTATACAAACACATCTGCCACAGAGGGGAACATCATTAAAGTTCCTGTGGTTTAGCAATACTTATGTGAACTACTTGTAATTTCACAGGTCTTAAGAACTTTTTCAGGAATCAATACAAAAGAGAAGAAGGGAAATGGAAATGTAGCAAAAAGCATCCACATGGCAGCAGATCGATAACCAAAGGCTGGTTTTGAATTATTGATATTATGGAATGCACCAAATTCAGAATTTTCACTGAGAAAAGCTGCTTTTAAAAACTTAAACCTTCCAATAATAAATACTGCCTTAAGTGTAAGAAATATGAAATCATTAAGCATAATTTATGGTAAAAGCATGGTTAAATTTGCATATAGAAAGGAACAGATAAAATGAGTGTGATATGATTTATCTTTTATTATAGGATGTCTTCATCGAAAAGGAGAAGTACAATAAACTGAAGCTGGAATTTGCCTTGATCTGAAAAAAAGAAAATTTTTTTCCCCAAATAAATTTGAGTGCAAAATCTGTTTTTTTCTTATTGGTGTTAAGTTACAACATAGAAACCATCACAGCTCTGATTTCCAGGGAAGCTCATTTTCAAAGGTGGTAAATGTAATTTAAAACACAATGTAAAAATAATTTTTCTAACACTGCTGTATAAGGAAATGTAATTCTGATTTTTAAAAAGCATATGGTTGTTACTGTACCTCAGCTTATTGCATGTGTATATCATATTCTCAGCTACTCAGGTTATTACAGAAGACATCACAAGTTCGACAGAACAGGTTGGGAGTTTGGAGAGGGAAAAGTGGAAATCTGGAAGCAGGATATTGAAGTTATAAGAGCTTATCCAGTATGTGTGTCTAGTTAGATGTGAGATGATTGGAAACTTGAGCAGTATCAGTACTGTGTTAGTACTTGTCAGAAGTTGAAAGCTGCACTGCTTGGAGAGCAATTTTAGTCTTGCCTCTAAATCAATACTGAATTGATGCTAGTTTGCTGGCAGCTGTCATTCAGGTGGCATCCCACTGTCTCTGGTGAATACTCACAGCATGTTATGAACCAATGCCAGAAAGTCAAGGGAAAATACAGAGTTGTGAAGTGGGGTCAAACTAAGGGAAAGTCCACTGCTTCTCTTTGCCAGCTGTAGATGTGGTTGCCAATGGCAAACATTGTTGAGTAGTCACTAAATGCACATTATTAAGATATATTCTTTGGGTGAGCTTCCAAGCCTCAGTTTTCTACATCTAGAGGATTTGGGCCCATACTTATGCAGAACAATATTTAAAGGTGAAAGTTTAAAGGGAGCATGCAGAATACACAGAAAAGTGCATTTTGCTTTTCTGCTTTTTCATGTGAAGTTTCTGTTACACTTATAATGTACTACATGTACGTTATACTCTTAAGTTCTTGAATTTGCAGCAACAGTTGTGTGTATTTAAATACCAGTGATAATTCTGGACATGTTTGGTTCACAGTAATTATCCATAACCAGTCTCATAATAACCCGTAATGTCCTACATTGTCTAAAGGTGTGTTTGTTTAGTTTGGGAAAAAGGATGTTTAGTTCAGCTGAGAATACTATAGTTACATGAGGCACCATTAAAATTGCCATGAAATACATGAAAGGTATAAGATTGGTTTTGCTTAATGGAACTAGGCCTTCATGTATTTAGTCTAGCACCTAGTCTTTAACATAGGTGAGAGACCATCTTATCTTATATGAAAGTCTTGATCTAATAACTGAATTTAAATCTGAAGAATGGATTTTAATATTAGTTCCAAAGTTTGTTACCTTCAGATATTTTAGTTTCTATCATACTTTTGTGCACACGTGGATATCCAATACTTTTTTTTTAAATCTTGATTTGGATCTTCTGCTTCTGTGGCATCCTATATTCATTAGTGTTCTTAACATAATTTCATGCTGTGTGAATAAATATTGCCTTTTATTTGTTTTGAGTGTAGATGTGGTCATTTGTATATTGCAGTCTGTGCCCACAGCCTCCAAGCTAAATAGAGGTCTATATTCTCCTTATTTGGGAAAATAATTGATTATTTCATTTCTTGTTAGTTGAGGGGATTTTACTTGATGTATATTTCATTATTTATTTGATTCATAAATGCTACATTTTTAATTGATGGTAAAACATATTTTTAGGTGAAGACAATAAATAAATAGGAAAAAATGACCTTGCAGTTTGATCTGGAATAATTTTTACTGACTGTAAGTTATGGGAGATGCACCAGTTCCAATGGGGAGGGAGTGCTACCTCTCACGATGTTTTCTGAACACCAAATCAGAGTAATAGTTGATCTGAGATACTTTTCAGCAAACCTCTTTGCAAGTTTCAAGTCTTATCTTTAGCTCCGAGGCAAAAAATGCTTTTTAACTTCCACTCTTATTATAGCAGGTAATAAAAAGGTAGCCATCTGCCATCCAAAATGTTGTTAAATAAGTTTCCATTACAGAATCTTTAATATGAAGGTGATGTACAAGCCAGGCCTATACAGGATGCTTGAATTTGAAGGTGGAAAGAAATCTATCTACTTGATAATATAGCAGTTTCTATCCCAACACTGTAGAGTCAGTAAACATAAACCTTTCAGGGTTACTTCTCCCCATGTACTTTTTGTTTGTAAGCACTATCAGGTTATACATCAGCATTATAAAACAGCCAGTGTTTCTCTGAAAATGGCTCAAGCTCTTTTTCTGTGACAGATTTTTTTAGTCTAAATGAGTTGGCAGGAAAAAATTGCCTCATTATCACAGAATTCTAGGAAATTTAAATACTGTGTACAGATACAATTCCTTTTGTGATTTGTCTGTGGAAATGTAATTTCCCTAGTGTTCCCATGACTTTTTTTCCTAGACTCACCTTCGAAAAAGAAATAATAAAGTCAGTTTAATCCATCTTTTACAGTTTAATTAAATTTTTGACTGAAAGAGTAGTCTTTGTATTAGATGTCTCAGTTTAAACCCCATTTCTGTTTCTGACAAAACAAATGAACTCTTTGTTACGGGCTTTTAATCTTACTTAGGAAGGTCCAGAGACTTTTATTTTTTTACCTAGTATTAAACCGAAAATGAGTTTTTTAATGATAGCTATGCTGAAAGCTGCTATTTTTAAAAATGTGACCAAATATCCTTTGAAATGCTTCTTTAACTTGGTATTTTGTAAGGTTTTTAACATCATGCTGCATAAGAACAGTGTTTACAATTAATATTTCAAATTATCTCCTTTTATGAAATGGCCATATCTGGAGTTTTAAACAATTATAAGCTACAGTAACTGAAATTCATGAAAGTCACTAAAGCAAGCTATCAGTCAGAAATAAAGGAGATAACTAGTTGTGTTGAAGAGGTAGTCAGGTCTGACCACTTGACCAAAAAAACAGGATGGTCAAAACACGCAATCCTCCCAAGAACTGGCTACCTTATCTACACTGATAAGCCAGTTATTTTTCTTCAGGCTTTTCTGCTAAAAAAAAAATCTCTTGTATTATTAGGTTTTGTTGATGGGATGTTCTGAATTGCTTCTTCTTAAAGGTGCGACTGCATTTGACACATCGATACCAGGTCATTTTGTGTCTTATCCAATGTCCACCAAGACGTTTGGAAGTCCTTTTGCTTAGTTCTTTTAATTTTAACCTAATCCCATGCTGTTTGTAAAGTATGGCAATGATCTCAATAGCTCCAGCTGCATATATATATATATTCATATATATATATACACACATATATGTTTTCTTAGAAATTTTTCCTCATGTTTTGTGTTTTCACCCCTTGTGTGTAGAGAATTTTCATAGATATCAATATTATCTACAGACTTGAATGAGAACAGGGGCATAGATACCACTTAGTCTCACACTTTTATGCATCAGAAAAAATCTACTAATGTTATTTTTTGTTTATTTCAGGTTTCTTTTCTCCATGGAAAACTCCAAAGCCTGTAAGTTCCTTTTCAAAATTATACACATTGAGTTTATGAGTACCATTCAAAGCAAAATTATGTAGACTTTCATCTAACCCTCCTGTTCCCAGCTCATCAGATGCCTCTCAGCAGTGCCCCAACTCCAGGTGAGACAGCATCAGGGGGGGGGCCTCACTAACAAGCTCTGCAGAGCCATTGGTTTGGAGTCTGCCAGCAGCAGTCTGGAGAAAGGAACATGTCAGTTTTAAGACGGATGTCAAGAATAAGAAATACAGTAGCTCAGAAATGAGGGTTCTGGAGGAGAAGGCAGCAGAAGGCCACAGCAATGGGTTCGGTTTAGTTGACTTTCTAGTTGGCGATCTCTTTAAAATGGACACCCTGCACTTTTTCTGGTTCACAGGCACCTTGAGCTTAACATCCTTAAAGTGACTGCTGTTCTTTCTTGCATTAGTAGATCTTGAGCTGGAAACAGTCACACTTCAAGTGAGAGCTTGGACTAGATACCTCACTGAGGTGCCTTCTAACCAACATTTCTGTGTTTCTATGATTTTAACATTAAATCTCAAGGTATGAAGATCTTTTCTACTGTAAAACTGTAAGCAGTTATGCCACATTATATAATATTTTGAAGTTGTGACAACATTAACAGTATAAAAAGAAATTGCAGGCTACTGTTTTCGGTTGTCTGTTTTATTTTGGTTTTTTTATAGTTTGGTTTTTCATTTAAAGACCTTAAAGTAGTGCTTATCTTTCATCAGAGGTGTGTAGAGCAAAAGAGCCCTGACTCTGCCTGAAGTCTTCTAAGAGCAATACGAATAACAATGGCAGTATGTTTTAAAGGATTTATAGATTGCTTATTTGGGAGTGAGGGGGATGAGGTGCATGTTGAATCTGGACAATTTCACATTATTTCATATAGGATCATGGCATGTTTATTGAATACAAAAATAATTTTTGTCGCCTGTCAAGTACAGATAGCAACTAATTAATTAGCTGATGCAACTCCATCAGATTGCTTCAGCTTGTGGTGGTTTCGATGTAAAAGGTTAGAGGATGGATGCAGTACATTTAAATAAGTATTGCATAAGGCTTTTTATTCATCTAAGTAGCAGGACACTTGTGAAAATAAATGACCATTAAGGTTCCTGTCTGACTGGGATGCTCTGGCCACACAGTGGAGAAGCACCCACCATTCTTTAAAGCAAAAAGGGGACCATGAGCCATTTGCTTGAAGAGAAGAGACAACCTTCTTTTCCTGAAACAGCGGCTCAGGGATAGTGTGCACTGCATCTCAGTGTGCTCAACATCCCAGGGTAACCTGGGCTGATGGATACTTTCTATAGTTTCTATGTATATAGTGCATATATCTATATCATAGGTAATACAGTTCGATTCGTACAAAATTAACTTGAGTGTCATCAAGCCATTATGCTGCCTGGTGCTCAATAACATGCTTACTTATTCCCAAGAGTGCTTTCATCTGTGAGCTAGTATTATGATAACTCACATTGCAAAACACTATGTGACTATTTACTAGTTAATCTGGGTTTGGGAGATATAATTCCCCTTGTGTTTATCTGTTCATGTAACTATTTATGGTAGCAGTATTACCCACAAGTAAGAATGTTTTACTCAGTTTTTAACTTCACACTTCACACAATTAGATATATGGGACCCAGTAGGGTTTTGCCAGTTGATCTTCAATTTTGTCCTTCCTCCAGGGAAAAGTTTGTTCATCAAAGATAATTATATGTTCCTTTCTCTTTTAAAGCCTTCTTTAAATATTTTAATGTTACTCAGTTTCACACTGAAAGAGGTAAGTGTTCTGTTTCTCTGGACTGTCCAAGAAATTAGAAAACTTTCACTTCTAGATAGACAGGGCCCCATATGTCTCTCTGCTTTCTAGCAGTGAGATAGATAGTTTGGTTTCAGTGACTTGTCCATTTTAGATTCCTCACTGAAGGTAAAACCTAAACATAATTCTCCATTTTCCTTGATCATAAGGAACTTGTACTGAGCTCAGTTCTCCTTTCCTAATTTAGACATAGGGGTCATAATCAGGTTTGTTTCTGGAGACCTTTGAATTTACATTTCCATGATACAGTGATATACTGCATATATGTTGACATATACCCGAGGAAATTCCTTTAGAGTCAGAAGAGCTATCAGAAGTAGCATTGTGACATACATGTGACTTGCCACATAGGTGATTTACCCAACATGGAGGATAAATTTATATTGATATAAAGGGTACCTGAAAGTACCCTAGGTACTTTCCTGTACCTAAGCTATTTTGATGACCACTGAGGTATCTCCATATGTCACTGTATTGCACAGGATCTATATACCTATAGTGTCCTCTTATATCACATCCCAATTGCTGTCTTTTGTATATGACCCAAAATAAATTTCTCTTTCTTGAACATCATTGGCAAATATTGAATATAGTGTTCCATATCTTTATTATAAGCACTTCATAGCACTAATACTTTTCTTTCTCAACTTAAATAACGTACCCAATGTGAACTAGTAGTGCTTGAGAGTCATCCTGTGATTGACTGAGATACCTACATCTTTTTTGCTCATTGTTTCTAGTGAAGCAGCCCTGCTTACTGCTGAAACTCTGACAGAAGCACAGCTTATTTATAATGCTACTCTGTATAAAGAATGAGGCCCTCAACAGCTTAAAACAGGAAATAGCCATATTCTGTTTATTTTGAACTACGAAGCTGAGAGTGTCAGATCACCTGTGGTGTGCAGAATGGTAGTTACTCAGCATGTTCACGAGGAAGACTCTAAGCCATCTGTAGTCCACATGCTTGGTATGGAAAAAGCCTGATCCTATTAATCATCAGAATAGAGAGCAAAGCCTACCTGCTGAGCCAAACACCTTCTGAAACTGAGGAACTAAAGGCAAATGATAATCACAGAATTTGTAGAGCAAGGTTGCTGTAAACTTGCAATCATCTTTGATAAGGCACTGCTGATATAAAACTAGAAGTCGTTGGTATTTAGTTACAGCTCAGTTTGTTTCCGAGAGTCATTTTTTGTATAATTAAGTGATTGTTGGTTTATGTGCAAGACCACACTCTTCTGGAGGCTTTACCATGCTTTGCTTCAGGAGGGGTCACAGGAAAAGCCAAGTATTTGTTTCCTGGGCTAACCATTTGTATTTTGTTTAACTTAGCTGCTTCAAATATATTTGCTAATGCAATTTAATTAGTAGGCAACTCCTTCAAAAAGAAAAATTTAGATCCCCGAGTCTTCTTTGGCACAGTCTATCATATTGTCTCCTTTCTAGCTTCATGTACTTGTGAGACCACTAAGGACAGTCTTGGAGAAAACATGGATTGAGGTGGCTTTCATGCCACATGTACTTTTCATGTACACTACTGTGTAATTCTCACCTGTAGATGGTCTGGAAGTGTTGGAAGGCTTATCCTGTGCTTGGGATTTTGGTTGGATGATGCCAATATAATGTTTTTGTACTTTATCATTGAACATTTGACTATCACTAGATGCTCAAATACCTGCTGTAGTAAATTTCCCTTTGTTTTGTTTTGCCGTTTTTCCTCACCTTCAAGTGAAGCTGTAAATTCTGCTCACAGTTACAGTAATCTTCTCCTTGAGCAAATAGCTATTTTCATGCATTCTCAAAACATGCAACATTAAGATCATTCAGTTGGTACACAGTCTGACCACTTCTTTGTTAGGTGCTACTTTCAGTTATGGATTTTAATGAACCTGATTATTGTATCTTCACAGACCCACAGAGTCCATCTTTAGCAGAATAGCTTCTAATAGCTCAGCACATTCTGTGAGAGGCACTCAAAATGCTTCAGAGGTAATGCTGGGCCCTAATCCACATGGGATCATATTATCCAAGAAAGATCATGTCTTCCCACAAGCAACAAATTAATAAGTAAATTTAACCAAGTCATCTTATGAACAGCACAGCACACACCTGTCATCACAAAAGGCACCAAACAGATTTGCTAATTTTACAAAACACATCTTCAATTGAAATCACTGCTTTTGGTCTCCTTGTAGAAATCACAGTTTTTGCAAAACTTCATCTTTATTCTCTGTGTGGTTTTATTCCAGATGATGGAACGATGGGAAAATCAAGGCAGTCCTCAAACAAGCCTTTCTGCTCCAGCTATGCCACAGAATATTCCCTACCCACCTGCTCTTCACAGGAGTTCATTTCCTGATTCAACAGAGGCCTTTGATCCACGAAAACCTGACCCATATGAGCTGTATGAGAAATCAAGAGCTATTTATGAAAGTAGGCGTAAGTGAAAACTCTGTTCACTGTTGACCATTTAATATTTTAAGCTTTACCTATGAATATGTCACTGATGACATAATTTTCTGTAATTAACTTTTGTAATCTAAAGAAAGCAATTACAGTCACAGCTAATAGAGGCCATTATAAATTATTCAAAAACTCTACACTTGTGTATTTTCCTAGATCTTGCCTAGATTCTGAAGTTTGACTTTCATAGGAGTTTTTTCCCTTATATTTTTGCCCTCCTCATTTTGACTTAAATCCTTAGTGAAGAACCATATATGTGCCAGCACAGTTTGGTGTGCTAGTTTTCTTCATAGTTAATCCATAGGTTGTGAATTTATCAACAAAAAATCCTTTCACTTACTTCCACTTTAAAGTGAAATTGATTAAAGAAATGTAAAATTTGTCTGTTTTTACAAAAATCATTGTGACAAGTTTTTGCATTGTCTTTGGTAGAAAGAAACCCACAGCACTAAGTACTATTTGAAGATCTACACAAAACAGGACTGAGTCATCAAGAGTCCTATCTTGATTTTATTTCTCATGCTTCTGGGGGGATATACCACAAAAATATGCACTTTCCATTCAGCAGAGTCAGAATCATCTTCTGTAATTGAAGCCATCAAGCCAAGAGTGGAAAAGTGCAGATTATAGGCTTCCTGCATTAAAAAAAAAATCTTTGTAAAACAGTGAAGTTATATATGCCATATATATATATATATATATATATATATGGGATGCATCTTTATACTCCCTCTTCTCTTGATCCCCAGTATGAAGAGTTCTATATTTACAGAATCACCCTAAATATTAATGAAAGCAAATAGGCTAAATCAGTGTTTGCCCTTCATAAACCTGTGAGAAGATAGATCTGATGTCAGCTACAAAGATTGGCTTATACCCCAAAAGATGATATAGTACACCCAAAGATCTATTATGCCATTCAATAAAAGAATTAAGAGATTCATTATTATTCATGGGTGCCTTCTATGAGATTTCTGCATACCTGCTTGCCCGGTGTGAACTCCAAACTTTTACTGATACAGTCTGCTATGTAGAGGAGCATATACTACACCAGGGGAAGAGCTGATAACTTGTAGGATGGAGTTCTGTTAAAGCCTGTGTTTAAATGATTTAATTGGATTTGAGTTCTGTCCAAGAGGCAACTGGGTATTGTATACAAGCCTTTTTCATCCAACTACCTAGACAAAATAAGAATTGAAAATCCAGAAGCTGCTATGCCCAAACCCAGAAAGTGAGGAATGAAAAACAAGACTGCAGTAAGCACTCCTCCCAGATTTCCAGCGCTCTCCTGATTTTCCAGCTAATCCCGAAAGCTTTAATTTGTTCTCTTCTGATGCTTTGCACCCTTTGGTTCTGATGCTTTGTACCCTTTGAACATTTTCTCTACACCTTGATTCCATAGTTTCCAATCAGATCTCTTCTGCATTCATTCATATCCCTTGGTCATAAATAACTGCCTCCAAACATCTCTATTCTCCCTGACATTTTTGTTTCATGAATGCCATAAACACACATTTCAGCAAATTCAATTTGTCAACACTTTGATTGCTTTTATTCTTTACATAGTGCTAGTGTTTCCTGAAGAGAGAAACAACAGGCAGGAAATCCATTATTGAGTCAAGAAATTGTCATCTAGATTGAGCATGTAAGAGGGAAAGTTTCAAGATAATACACACTTAGTTTCCTACCATATGGCTGTGTCAGGTTGGTATCTTCGGTAAAGACATACACTAAAAGTACACAGGAGAAGTTCAGTTACTTTGAGGGGTTTTATAAGTACTTCTTATCTCGAAATTTGCCTTATCTCTTGGCAATACCAGAAGAAAAAGAAGGTTCATCTTCTAAAAATAGTGCAAAAAAAGTGAACAGTCATGACCTGGAAAACTCAGAAAGAAAGAGATCCTGCTTGAGTTTTGTTTTTCTCACAGTGAGACTCTATTACTAAACAGTTCATTTTCATACTGCTATAGCTCTGAATTTCTGCCGATTCTTTTATCAGAGGATCTCACTGAAGTCAGCACTCACCAGGACCTCATCAAAGCCTCCTGCTTCCCTATCAGGGGGTTGAGCAAGTTATGCATCACAGTGTAGTTCCATGAGGAGCACAAGTGATATGACTCAAAGCAGAGCAAGAACTAGACCCAAGGAGCTTCATTCACAAGCCTTTGCTCTGGCTGTTAGATATGCTCATCCCTACCTAATGAGAGCAAGAAAGGGACTTCAAGCACAAATTCTCTATGAAAAAAAGGATTGTTTTCATTCTACAGGAATGTTTTTCCACCTTAAGAACACGAAGGACCTGCATGACCCTGTGTTATATGGAGATTCCATTATTTAATGATCATATATGAATTACAAAGGACCATTGACTCCACACTTGAAACAGTTTTGTAGAGACAGTTCTGCTAGTACAGCTTGGAGACAAATCAAATCATGCATTAGTACAAAAGCAGAGTGCAACTCTTCTTTGTAAATCATAACTCCTTAGAAAATTGTTTGTCATGAATTAGCTGTTACCTGTCAGCTCTTACCTGTGAGCTGTCACCTGCCTCTGCCATCACCCATCAACTGTGCACAATAGTTCCAAGCAGCCGGAAAGGAGCATAAGGCTTTTCCAGCTGATGAAGACCACCACATCATCCAAAACAGTTGCCTAAAAGCAAAAGAAGAAAAATTGCTTTCTTCTTTCTTTGTCTTTCCTTTCTTGAGCTATGTCTCTCCATGTCTCTGCCTTTCTTTTCCATTTTCTTTTTTCTCTCTTCCCCTAGTTACCCCCATTTCTTGTCCCTGTTCAGGAGAACCTACCTAGCTTTCTGCTGTTACATTATTTTGCAGAACTCTGAAATGGAGGAGAAGACCTGCTCGCTAACTGGATACCCTTTCCTTTTTCCCTCCAATTATTAATTCTAGGCAAATCATTTAACTCCTTTTTCCTTATGAAAACTCTTAAGAGCATGACAGTGTGACTCTGATGATAATGATGTAACCTAGGTACAAAAGATAGAAAATGGATCAGATCAGGAATTTCCTAATAATGAAAAAAATTATAAAACTTGATATACACCAGTTGTTACAGCTGTAACTGGACCTATAAAGTTGTCACTGGGAGAACTCATTCTGAATTTAACATTTTTGCCTTTATAAATCCTCCTTATCCTCTTTTATATTTTCTGTTGAGCTCTGTTCATTGTAAAGACACAGTTTATAACAAACTGGCCAGAGGTCTGTGTAGGCAGACATTAGTCAAACAGGAGATGCAATGTTGTTGGGTATCATAATGACATTAATATTTCACTATTTACAAAATATGGAATAAAAATTTGGGGTTATAATCTGCCACAGAAAGCAGTAAAATATTTATATTTTTTTAGTAATTAGGTTAAATTTGTCCTTCAGTCAGTGTGGTACTCCAAGACTGGTGATGTGACACAGAAATGCCAGTAAGAATGAGATTAGACATTGATAAGCTTTCATTAAAAGTGAAATCTGAACAATTACAGTTCCACCTTTTACTGGAAGGATAAAGGTTTCTTCCTTCAAAATCTCCATTGTATTTTCTCCTCTGACCACTGTATCATGAATTCCCAAGTTCCTTTCAAATACATCAGTTGTCTTATGCGCTGTAATTTATTTTCTTTTTCTGTAGAGATTTAGACCAATTGGAAAAGAACCAGAAAGCAAAGTCAACCAACAGCTGTGAAAAATGTAAATAGCAAATGTATTAGCATAAGCTTTATTAGCCTTTATAAAATAAGGGTGTTTTCTTATGCAGACTTATGAATACCTTTCTTTAAGAGTCACAGACAAGCACTGAAATACATATTCACAGGCTACCTTTCCTCTGAAATATTACTGCAGGTATTCAGCAGAGCATCATTAAAGTATCAGCAATAAGAAAGATTTGTGAGACAGAATTATAGTGACTAATAATGTGTAACTTTGAAAATAACATCCTTGCAGAAAAATACTCAAGTTTCATAAATTTGATACGCATAGAACATAAAAAAATGTATATATAATAGTACATGTATAGATCTGAATGCATCATCTATGCATATGTCTGTGGCATAGTCTACAGCTATGCAGAATTTTCTTGTCAGCTATTGTTGGCTGAAGACCTACATAGTTACAAACTTGAAAAATTGAAGGAAATTTTCCACGTAATTGTTTACTGCAGTTGTTTCAGACAGGACATTCCTGACCAAAAACTTGCCTCTAACAATCTTTTACATTTTGCTCATCGCTTGTCTAAAACGATTCATATTTTGGTTTTGGTGCTTTGGAAGGATATAGACATATGTGTGCATATTTTTACATATATAGCACTATGATAGCATTAAATACATAGTATTCTGAAGTATTATACAAATATGAATATAAATAAATATAAATGTCAGGGGGAAGGGGTGTGGTAAGGGTTTGGGATTATAAATTCAGAAAAGTAGGTTCTAGTTTCAAATTTTCTTGGGATCAGTTTGCCATATCTGTCAATATTTCTATTCACAACTTACTTCCCTGTATATCAATAAGACATGCCTGACTTCACTTAGTAAATAAAAGAGTACTGGTAAATTTCTAGGTATTAATTATTGTTACCAAAGTACTCCTTATACTAGAGTATGACCAACTGAGTTATAGGAAGGTAATTTCTCAAAGTAATTTCTAAACAGTACAGGTTGTCATTTTCCTTGCAACTGTTGATACCCCATAAGCAACAGCATAGAGAAGGTCTAAAAACTTGTATTAGTAAATGAATATAACCTTTTTTTTTAATGAGAAATGATACATAACAAAAAGAGTGTAGATTTAGCAGACTAATGTCAAATAATATTGTACTTTTCAAGACTGCAGAAAGAGTTACTCGCCATGACAAAATGGATTTGTTGGTTATAAGAACTGACAGTGAAACCAAAAGCATTTTCAAATGGAATTATGAGAATATCATCATCACAGTACTGTGGATATAAAGTGATTTTGATTGCTTGGATTGCAAAGTAGGTCCTAAACGATCTATGCTAATATGAAGTGTCAGTTTTACAACTGATGGTGGTATTAAAGATACTGTATTCCTTTCTCTTGAACAGTTTACACTTTATTAAAAGGTATACAAATAGATTTTAATCTGCAAGTGGTACAGTGTACTTAAGAAGTCAAAGTAATGGTTTAAGAAAAATTAATTGTAAGCATCGAGTAATTGTTCACAGGTGCATGAGACCAATAGGAACTTCATTGCCTGTGTGCCACTTCAAACTGCTGCTTGCCCAGCTTTGGAAAGGACATTGCAGCAGGATCATATTCATTCTGTTCATCTGTAAGACTCCTATTTACCTGAAGCATGGGTAGGACTGGGATGCTGAAATATAAATGTTTCCCAGTGATAGCTTTCTTCCATTTAATTAGAATTCAACAAGGTATAATCCAGACAATAACTCAGTATATACAATGAATACTACCTTCCCTGTGTTTCAACAGCATAATTCTTCTTCCAGATACTACCAGCAACTCCACTGGTGCAAATAAGGATGCCCTTGTGCCATGCTGTAGGTGAACTGTGGACCTAGGGCTGTATCTTGACAGCAAAGAAGTCTGCTATTTTCACCACTGGTTTCATTGCGGTCAGGATTGTGTCCCAGGTCTTGTTTATTGTTTATTTGTTTTCACAAATATTTTGCAGCTTTCAGTTTCAAAACCAAGAGTGTAATATATCTTAGATTAAACATGAAGCCAGATGTGCAAGCATTTTACTGTTCTAACAGAAAAAGTAACCTTGCCTTTGCATTCCTCTGATTGGAAAGAACCTTGATGTATAGCAAGACTCTTGAAATGCACAGCTGCATCTTTGCTTTCCAGAGCACAAACAGTACTCCCCTTAGGGGAGATTTATTTCAGTTATAGTTATATAAAAGTAGCAGTTCAGAAGAAGGCTTTTTAGTTTTATGTTCTTGATTCTTGTATCTAAAAAAATTAATACAATGAATTTACCAAGTATTTTATTATACATTCAAACTCTACTTTGTAATTATTTCATTCCTATTTCCAATAAAGGACTACAACTATTCATGGCAACTGCAGAATTTCAACCAAAAAGGCTTTATATGGAGAATACATAAATCTTATGCCAACAATCTAGAACTTTGTGCACTTTGAATGTGTGTTCCTGATGGCAGTGTTGGGTAGGCTGGTCTCTTTGTCCTGGCCTCTCCAAACATGCCTTCAGCTGCCTCATTTCTTAAGAAGTGGAGACAGGAGGTTTAACATAGTAAGAGTTTAGAAAATGTCAAAATGAATTTAATAATAAGTAAATGGAAAGTTTTAAATCACCTTGTGTAAAGGTTAGTTTCCTATAAAAATAACTGACAGGTTTTTATAAAACAAAGCTTGCTAGATCTCAGTAATGTTGGTAAAATTACTGGATCAATCAGTTTATTTTTATCAGATAGAAGGCACCAGGACGTGCAAAATAGCATGCATTCTGCTTGACTGAGGACCACTTCCAGTTGTTCTTCCTATTCACTTGGAAGCTGCTGTTCTGCATGGTCTTTGAGCCCAGAACTATGTGAGTTTTGGAAAGAACTACCTATATCGCTGCATTTGACATAGGGAGACATTGCTGATAAAGTCCCTTCTTACATGTTAAATGTTCTTCCCAGATCTTTCTTCTTTTGAATTTTTCTACTAACAGTTTGTCTATGACATAAGCACAGCTATTTAGAGGTTCTATTCTAGTATTCAAAGTGCCAGTGACATCATTACAAATATCCTGTACTGCATAGACCCAGACTGCTGACAGCAGATTATTCCTAAAATGAGCACTGCTTTGCTGTAGTTACCAAAAAAAAATCATGTCTGCACTTAGGTTTATCTTTTGTATAATCATACATTTAAGAACTTTGAGGAGTGATTCTGCACCTTCAGCATAGCCCAGTTCCAAGTTTCATTCCTAAACTACAATGCAAACCAGTGCTAGATGCTGAATGGTTTAATACAAGATAATAATTAACACCATGAGATTATGTATGAAGTTCTCCATAACAAAGACAAGACACCTATTTGGGAGCAAAAGCCAGTTCAGACTTAATGAGATTAGCTTTAAATGGAGCTGCCTATTGACAGGCACTTCCGCTTCATAACAAACAATAGCTTACAAAAAAGATACTGCTAAATTACTTAAGATATATGGCTATCTTAACATAGCAAGTTGTTCCCTAGTTTGTCACAGTTTGAGCATGGTTGTGCTTTCACTTTGCTACTCCAGGCCAATTCTGGGGAATATTAGGTTGACTGCAAGCAGAAATGGAAACACAGGATGAAGCAATCTCACAGCAGCTCCAAAGAGTAATTCTAGCTGGATAACCAAGAGAAAAGGCTTGTGTCCTTTCAAACCTAAAAGTGTACTGAGCCTATCAAAATTTTATTGCTTTCTGTAGATTAAAGTAATTCTGTCTCTTTTAAGAGTTCCATTAAAATCTTGAAAGAATGTGAGTAAAAAAATCATTTCTCCAAGTTCACAGTGGAGCAGCATCAGTTTCAAAGTTTTTGGTTTTCAGGAGCTGTGCTGGTGCACTAATTTACATTTAGATAACACCTCTCATCTTGAAGGATCCCAAATCACTTTACAAAATCTTAAGGGTGTAAAGGAATTACCTCCTTTAACCACCAAAGTATAGATGTGCAGTGACCTATAAACTAAAAAACCAAAGCCCACATGATTCAACTCTTTAACACAGCCTATAAACACAGATACAATAGGAACACAAAATCCAAAGGGTTGTTCCCATCCAGTGGAATCCCTAGACTGTATTTTAGGTAAGCAGGGTAGCAGTCCCCTGAATTTGAGCAGGTCATGGCTGAGACGCCAAAAAAGGCATAAGACATTCAGTGGCTTCCATATCTATATCTGGGAAAATGTCTTTGCTCTAGAGCGTTAGTTCAGTATTGACTCAAGTGAACTATGAATTACTCAGCTGCTTCCGTTACAGTCCATGCTGCCTTTAGGAATCAGTCCATTCGAAGGCAAGTAGCTTTAGTCCAGACTCTTCCAAAGTGGTAAAGCAGCTGCCCACAGAGGAAATACTTTCTTCTCTTTTCTCTCACTTCTCTCACCACATCCACATATTTCCAGGAGGTTAAGACAAAACTGCTGTCCTCCAGTGCATTCTCTGTGTTCCTTCTGCCCTGAGCTATCTGCTTACAGCATTAAATCCACTTCTGTCTTCCTTCTCAGGAAGATATTATATACTCATATGTTGCATTACCATCCTACAGATGCTGATGTAACAGACCTTACCCCATTTATACCATGAAACGTGTGGTATGATGTTCTGTTTTAGAGTCACGTGAATGTGTTAGTAAAGGTGGTTTATTTACCTTTTTTGGTTTTGGTAAGCCAATGGAAATCTCATCTGGTTTGGGATGAGATAATAAAAGAGATAATAAACCAGAAAATCTTAGAACATTTCAAAATCAGCAAAGAAAGTGTGACTGAATTCAGCTATGGACTTGTTCCAGTTTCTTCGAATGCCAGCGAAGTAGTTGCATATGAAAACAAATCAGTTATTTTACTACATTTCATCTAGTAAAATGCAAATACTTTGAAACTACCTGCATTAAAAGTACTTTAAATGGGTTTACCTACATTTGCCTTCACTTGCCACCAGTTGTTGTTATTCACAACATGCATCCTTCTGGAAAATCTTGCTCTTCTTGATAATAAAAGTCATTTTACAATTGAATTGAATAAAAGCACTGGTAAATTCACCTAAATACAGCCATCAAACTTTCCCTTTCACTGTGCTTAAGTACAAATATTGTCACTAATTTTCACAATTTTGAAACGTTAACAATATTGCCTTCATCATAACTGATGTTATGTTAAAGGAACACTACCACCATCTTACCATCTGTTTCACTTTGCATAGAAATGTACCGGAATCTAGCAGGAATACATACATGTACCACCCAGGAAGTCAGGAAGGAGGGGAGGACAAAAAAATACGTGCAATAAAAAGTAGGAATTGCACTTCAGTAATTTGAAGCAGAGCTGAGAAATTGATGCTGCATCTTTAAATAACTTGAGAAATGTATTTCATCTTTAATTCCCCATTTTCCTATTCAGAGCAAGTGCTGCCCAGGACTGGTTTTCGAGCGGATTCCTCTGGCAAGTATTCTTCAGCCTTCATTGTTCTGTATATTAGTTGTCCTTCATTTTATGTTTTAGTTATTCTTTCTTTAATCATTTCTCTAGATAATGGCCAGTCATCACTGCCCGGTCACCATTTTATTTTTATGAGCTTTGTGGGGTTATAGAATGCTAACTCTAAATCTTTTCATAGTAGATCTACATTTTGAGCAAGGAAAAGTTTTTATTTTTCCTCAGCCAGTCTTTGTGTATGTTTCACAATGTTTTATGTGTACTTTCATACATTAGTGTTCACTCTAACTTAAAAATGCATCTCTATACCTCAGGCCCAAATCTAAGCTTAAGTGATATTTTTTGTAAAACTGAAATGAATTCTATCTAGGTTTGCAATAGAACTGATGTATTTTGCAGACCCGTACATTCCTTGCTCCCATTCTTATATCCTGTTGTGTAAAAACCTAAAAGAAAAAGCTTTCAAAAACAGATTTTTGGAGTGATTGAATCAACATCGGTCTTGTAAAGTGGCAATGGACTTGTTTAAAAAACAACAATATTTGATTTCCCGATGTTGTGAACTATTAAAACAAGAATCCCATTCAAAAAGGCTTTTTGACAATCCCATTAAAGTCTTTTCTAGTCCTGCACAGGTTGGACAGACATCTTTAAGTATGATACTGGGCCAGTTTTGCGTACTGCAGTAGAGTTTATATATTAAATAACTGTTAGCAAACAAATTCTTTTTTCTTTTTTTTTTTTTCCTTTGCTTTACTGATTTTCACACTGAAGTCTTTGTTTTCCAGCTTTTCCTCTCTATAAATATCAAGAGGAAGTACATATGTTTTTTAAAAAGCTGCTCACATTGGAAACCAGCATACCCATGACTGTTTTCAGGCTTTTCATGTCTTACAGGAGCATCTGAAACTCAGATTAACAGTTATCTTAGATTTGTTGCAATCACAATTCATAATTCATGATTTATATGGAACAAAAATCTTCACCTTCATCAGCAAATGAGTCCAAATAATTTTTTATTTTAGTGGGATATTTGAATACACCCAGAAAGATTGTAAAATTATTGCAACTGAGTTCTTCACTGTTAATTGCAATATAGAAGAGATTTAACAAAGAAAATTTTCTATCTCTACATTTACAGCATCATCCCAACTACCAGGTTTATCACTATAAAAATCACAACACTGCGGTACGGAAATGTAGCTGAGAGTTGATAATCACATCTTCACCTATGAGGTCTCACTATTTTTCAGTAACAATCTGTAGCACTACCTTTACATTCCCTGCCATGCAGGAACCAGAAAACTGGATTTCCCAATGCTCTTTATTGTCCTTGCTGTGCAGCAATGATCAGATCACAGCTTGTCCAATACCATTCTCAAATTCATGGGGGAGCCAGTTGGTTTTATCTCCTAGCAAAATGAATTGTTGTTTGGGGTTTTCATATCTTTTAGGCCAAATGATCAGTTAAGAAAGTTTTCCTTTACAAGAAAAGAAGCAGCGCAATACTGCTAACTATGAAAAAGACAAGGAAGTTACTAGCAGGCAAAGCTAAAGTTCTTTTTCTAATATAAATATGTAGAGAGACAAGGGAGAGCAGGCAACACTGTTATTCTTGCATAAGATACCCATATTATATGATCAGAAATACTGTCTTTAAATTGAAATTGTCCCTTCAGTGAAACTGGTAGGAGATGGGATGTTCAGGTGTATTAAGTTGACTGGAAGGATAAGCAAACTGTGCAAAAGACTACAGTAATTCAGCCTTGGCTCGACCCCCTTGTTTGCAAACCTATTCATTTCTTCTTACTTAGCGTGATCCACAAGGTGCTAATCTAGTTTATCAAGAGAAAAAAAAAGAAAACGCACATTTTCCGTAAAGCAGTGATATTAACCAAGAGCTTGTAGTATAATGCAAGGCACAGGAGCATAATTTTTGTGTAAGTATAGGTAATTTTCTTTGTATGATCAACTGAAAATCTGCTCCAGCAAAAAAGGACAAATTTTAGTTTATCTAAAAATCCTTTGTGGGGAAAAAAAAAAAGGACCACAATCTTAAAGAAAGATGAAATGTAGTCACTTACAAGGGTAAGAATACTTGATCAATATACTTTCAGGAATATTGAAACTGCTGCCACATAGTAGTAGGGGCTTCTAGTAAATCTACAAAGCATGAGGTCCTGTAGCAGAACTACATTGTAGTGAACAACTTACCCGTCCTACAGAAACAGAAGAGTGATCTCATCAGCAGCAAGTCTTTAGAACTTATTTTCAATTAAAGACTAACTGCTGACATGGAGATAAATTGAGACCTAATGCAAAAGGAGTTTGTTGATGCTGGACTAACCCGTTAACTGATTTTTCACACAAAACAAGCAGTGCATGCTTAATCAATCTAGACTTCAACTAGATGCTTTACAAAATGCCTGCTATAACTGAAGTACTTCCAGGTTAGCCTGGAGAAGACAGTGCTAAGCACAAGATGTAAAGAGGAATGGCTAAAAAGCAGATAAGCAGTTCTACTAAAAGAACAGTTTCTGAAGTGAAAGGGTAGTATTAGTGGAGAGCCTTGCAATAAGTCTTGCGTTACTTTCATGAGTGACCTAAGCATAAAAACCAAGGATGGAAATCAGGTCCACATTCAGACATGTAATTCACGTATATACAGTGTAGTTGTCTCCAGACCAATGGAGACCTGGTCAATGCAGCCAATGGTGTTGTAGCTTACCAAGCATGAAAGCTGAAACAACCAGTGGAGGAAATGGTCTTACAACAGTGGAGGAAATGCTCTTAAATGTAGTAGCAGTCACTGGTGATATTGTTGTATTACTGTGAAAGAATGAATAAAATCATGGGGTGCAATCTATCAGTGAAAATTCTGAATGAGGCAGGTGACCTAGTGGCAAAGGCCACAGACAAGCTCAGGTACCAGTGTCTTCTTTGCCTGTGTCTTTACTGGAAAGGTCTGTGTGCTGTTAGCTTGCAGAGGCTTGCAGTAACAGGGAGCTGGGCTAGGTGACCAAGGGATCCTTTCCAGTCCCATGTGCTATTTGCTTGGTGAGACAGAAAAGAGAATTATATTTTAAAAGCAATTTTCAATGTCTTGGTAAGAGTTGGCAGAGGATGGGTTCCATAGGCTCCAGCTATTTGGAAAGGAAGGCTCTTCTGAGCAAGCATGATATCATAGTCATTTAATCCCAAGACTTCCAAACTGTGTTAGAGCTCACACAGAAAAGTATTCCCGTATACAGTAATTTTAGCCTAAATCTTTTCATGGTCAGCCTGGCTTAACCTTTTCCATTCTAAATGTGTGGAAAAAACAGCGTCTTTTAAAAAAACACTACCTCTTACTTTGGAGTCTGGTGTCAACATTGGTTTGAATCAGTTTTGTCAATGTGCATGTTTGAGGGATGCTTTCATCTCTGTGTGCAAGACACATTCTTCACGACCTGACATTCTTATACTTTCTTAATGTATTCCCAGCTGTGCATATCCATTCATGTGTGTGCAGATAAAGGTAATGCTTAGTTTGTGACAGACTGCTGGAAACAGTGCCTTTGAGTGTTAGACCTGGGCTATACACAGTGATCCTACTGTGTCTATCTGTAAAGCACTCTCACTAGTACTAAGCCCCATTTTGTTACACTTGGGCACAGCAGATCAGGTAGACATAAGGTATCACTTTTATCTTAAAAATCCTTTGCATCTTGCAACATTTAAGCAACCTTTGCATTAACATACTGTGCATGCAAAACCTTCATATGTTCTTTTATTCACTGTTGAGACACTTATCAAATAAATTGAAAAAAGTCAGGATAATAAGCTGTTAGGATCTGTTTGGGTTTGTATTCTAAATATATGAGAAGCAGCATGGTAGGGAAAGTATTGCTTTTATTTTAGCAATTGAAATACTTGTAATTCAGTATCACTCATACCATATACATTGCTGCAATAATGCACTATGCTGCTGCCTAGAGAGGTCATAGTGTAGAGCCACTGCATGTAGTTCTGTGTCTCTGTCTTTGCGAGACCTGACTGAAACTGAATCATCTTTAATCCCACACTAAACTGCCCAACTGCAGTTTATGAGGTGTCCACTGATGGCTCTGGAGGAGATCTGTAAATGAGTACCATTTAGTACTTAGTACTTTAGTACTTAAACTTAGTATTTAAGCCATCTATAGTCACTCCCCTCCTGAGGAAACAGGAGACACTATGCACAGTTTGCTGAAATAAACCTACTCATCCCTTTTTGTTTGTTGGAGTCGGCAACAAGCTGACAGTGGCCGAAAGCTGTCACAGCTTATAGACCAGAGTGCGATCTGTATGAAAGACCCCCATTCCTATTAACCACTGCCCTGCTTTAGGTAATGAACCTAAAGCATCTCTGAACATGAAGACAAAGCAATAGTCAAAATAGAGAACTTCTTAGTCCTCTAGCTGCTTACAGTTTCACTTCAATTTTTATTTAGATTTCTCTTTTGTATTTTGAGGGCATCAAGACCCACCCCCACCCCCACCCCAAAAAAAATGGGCACACTCAAATGAAGCTAAAGACACTTTTATAAGAAACTGACTTTTAAAAACCACCATGTTCCTGAACTGATATATTCCAGGGGAGAATATATGTTTACGGGCAAGTTATGCAGGCATATGGAAGCACAATCTTAATGATTCATAAAGCTGTTGAGATTTTAATTGAGTAGCATTAAGGAGTTCAAGTTAATGATGTTAGCTTTCAATTTAAACTCTAAGACTCAGTCTTATAATGATAGCTTTCATCAAAATTCTTTACTGAAGATATTACCTGAAAGTAGAGTGCTTAAAAGCTACGTTACATAAAAAGACATACTGGTTTACAGCTGTATTTGGAACGTAAATGGCCTGTAATGATTATTCATCTTTTGTAAGTTGACTGATTCTTTTCTTGTGTATCTCTATCTCCCATTTCAGTTTATTTTCTTTAGGTTTTAATGAAGTGCAAGGAAAACAAAGATCAAATAACACAGGTGGATGAACAGCAGTATATTATGCAGTCAGTTGTAGGAAGAAGGCACCTTTATAACCTCTATTATGGACAGACTTTTTCAGTACTGTTCTCCTGTGAATGCATTCTCGCTTGGTTTAGTGTATTCTACTGAACATAATCATCCTCCAGGAGATATCTATATTTTCAAGTGTCCTCCTTGTCTGTGTACAACACATTGTGTCCCATTTGTTTCCACCAGCTCTAACCAGGATGCCATTAGTCATGTGCAGTGAACACAAGGTGGGAGGGAAGATGGTGCAAATTCTCAAGACAAAGCCAAAATGTTTTCTCAGTGGGATTTCCCTTTTAAACCAGGTCCCGATTACAAGGAGCTGGATGTTCACCTTCGGAGAATGGAGTCTGGGTTTGGCTTCAGGATCCTGGGAGGGGATGAGCCTGGACAGCCTGTGAGTTATTTCTTCCTGACTTTCCTTTTTATAACTCTAAGATCTGTGTAAAGTTCAGGAAAATGTTACTACATAGGTGAACCCACATGAACACCATGTTAAGGCTATAAGTAAAATGGCTGCTTTATTAATCCATAGAAAAAGACAGGACTCTCAGGTTGTCCTTATCTAGAAGATGCCACAGTTAATTAAGTTAAAATCAGAAGAAATTAGCTTAGAAACAGTGCATCACTCAGCCCATTACTGCCGAGTGTGACCTGGCATCTTTTAATCTTGACTTTCCAAAACTGAGTTTAAGCAGAAGATTTAAAATATCAAATTATGTAAGACTATATATAACTGTGTTCAATGTAGACAGACTACATATACACGCATAAGGTCAAAAGATACTGTTGAGAACACAGTTTATTTCCAGAAGCACAGAAGGCCCTACCAGGAACAGTAGTCCATGTTCCAAGTTAGACAACAACACCATGTGATGCATCAGGCATAAAAATTATAGCTTTATATCATTAGGAGGGACATAGCCTTGTAACCAAATGAAAAGTAACAAAACGTTACATAAAGTAAATAAAGTATAAAATAAAACATATACATGAATTTTAAAAGAAATGTGTACACATTTTGGTAAATTAGTGACAGATATAAATACTATAATTTTGAAAAAGCAGGCAGATTTAGTACTCCTTCAGAATAACTTTGATGATGTAACTGTGGTTTGTCAGTGAGGACTAATGCCAAGTCAATAATGACATTTTATTCTCACAATTTTATACATAGTCCTGCATTACTGCCTTTCTGAGATAATGTATAACTAGTTGATAGGTATATTCCATATTCAAATTCATATGGAATAATACAGTTGTCATTCAAACATTAATGTTAACCAACACATGGCTGTGAGAAACAAAGAAGTTCCTCTATTTTAAAATTGTCAACATCCGTTGAAGTACTGATAAATATTACTAGTTGGCTGATACCTCATGTAAAAAGAAACAAATGCAATGTCTTCTAAAAAAGGTGCTTCAAGTAGTGATTGAAATGCAGAGGCCCTATTTTAGAATAAGTGTTTTGGAATGGATTTTGAAAGCTAAATAAGGTATAGCTGTACAGAAGGACCATAAAACAACAGTTTCATCATCTACATTTGCAGTGTGCCTGAAGACCCTCTGACATCTAATTTCTTCCATGGAGCATGTCCCAGCACACATAAAATGAGGCTGCTGAACTATCATGTGCACATTCTCCACCTAAGCATTTTCAGCATTTTCCTTTTGGGATGGCCCAGCTAGTACGGGTTCTCAAAGGTCACCTACTGGGTGAAGCTGAAACAGAAATCTCTTAGGAGCTAGAGGAAATGTCTCATTTTATCATTTTATCCTGCAAAAAAATCGGCATTAGTGGAAGATTTGGAAGTCTCCCTCTACCTGCTTTGGACAATAGTGACATTTCCAACCTCTCAGGGAAGTGTCCTTGGCTACAGAGCTACTCAGTATTCTAGGAAGGTCTGCCCTGGTGTCTCCTTTAGGGCTTTTTCCATTACAAATTGATAATTAAGTAGGCACAGACTGAGTGTCTGACTGCCTCTGCAGTTCGGATGTTTATGACATTCTCATGGAGAAAAGTGCAGCTCAAATGCCTCATCTAGAAGCTCATTACTTATATAAAATGGAATGATTTCAACCTGAAGGACTGAGAGAAAACTGGTTTAGAATATCTGATTCTGATAGTTAAGAATGCATGCTGGGAAACCTGAATTTATGTCTCTTGTCAACAACCCAATTGAGCGGGAACTTAGTCTTTTGCCTCCCAGCTGCATGCATTACACACTGAACTGTTAGAGAGGAAGCAGCTCTTTCTAATTTCTTTTCAGCAAAGGACTGACCTGGCTTTACTGTGAAAAGTCAAAGAGTTGTAGCTGGATACCAAGTACAGAGATAAGCACCTTGCTATTTTTGGAGAGCAGGACCAAAAATGCTGCCTTCTGTGAGCCACCTTCTAAGATGCTTCGCTGTCCTGCTAGGCAATTGCTCTCAGCCTGCACTTAGCCCCAAGGTTGCTATCTCTATTTCAGGGCTTGCAAATACAAGAATATTTTTTCCCAAGATGTATCAATCTAACGGGGCTCTATGTCCCCACAAACCATCTCTCTAAATCCTCCGGAACAAATAAGATCCTGGCTTGAGGACCCTATGAAGTGAAAAGTCACATGCTTAGAGATAGGTATCAGTTCTTACTCCCTCTTTGTTGCCCATCTTACTTTTTTCTCTGCTCAAATTCATCACCAAAAAAAAAGCTAAAAAACACAAAACAATAGATGTATTCCACTTTTGTTAGTTTCCATCTATTTTTTACTCAAAATACAAGAATTCTTAACTGTTTTCTCTCCTCCACTGCTTCCCTGGTCCCACATGGACAGCCCACCTGCAGCTTCCCATTTCTTTCACCTCCAGAAAAAGGAGAGGCAGTTTTTGCCTGTCCTCCAAACCCCTGCTTTTCATATGAAACAAGAACTGAGACACTTTGAAGTGTTTGTTTCAGCTCTCCTGCTGTGCAGTCACGTAGCACAGAACAAAAAGAAGCTTTCTTTACCTTTTGTCTTTGTGGTTCAGTTTCTAAAAAGGAATATGGATTCTTCAGCATAAGGCAATAAATTTTTCAAAGCAGCCAAATCCACACACAGTTTTTTTAGAAGGACAATACTGACACTATAGAGAGACTGTAGATTAATTTCCTTCTAGTTATATGAGCTACCTGGCACCTTAGATGGAGAAAAGTCTGCTGGACTACTCCACTTTCCGTATTTGTAAGCATAACTATGCCTTCCAATGACTTGAATTTATTGAGAGATTTCAAGTATCAAGACTGTGGGTTGTGCCACTTCAAATCATCTCCCAAATTTCTTGAGATCATACCACCGCAGGTATTTATCACATCCCCCGGTACCTTGAGTTAATCTGACTCTGTTAGAGTGAATTATAATATCACTGAGAGGTTGCAAATATATTGAAACTGGAACTTTACTGAATTTGCAAATTGCTGTCCCAAAGCAGAGAAGTATTTTGTATACTTTGCACAGCTCAAACTCAGAATCACTGGAACATATACATAATTGCATGAAGGGTTTCACCTTTTCAGCACAGATTGACTGGGATTCTTCTAAAAAATGCCTGTGAGATGTCCATAATCCTTTTATAATCAATGCCAAGAAACAGACATTTCTAAGACATAACAGATGTCCATAGAGCAAAACACTAGGGTACTGCAGACCACGCCTTAGAAATTCCTATTTTTAACAGTGATTAGACAGAATTCAGATTATTATCTTGGATTTAGAAATCACAGACACTTAAAATTAGGTGAGATGAATCAGACCTTTTAAATTTTACTATGTGCCTGTGAAGCTACTGTGTTATATTCAGAGAAACTGAAACACAAAGTCAAATAATTACCAAGAATCACAAACAAAGTTAGTATCAAAGTAGATTGACATGTATGAGTTAATAGACCCAGGCTTCAATTTCACATTATGCTCTGTGACAATCTTTCTAATCAATCCCAGCATTTCTCACCTTTAATCTCAAGCAATAGGTGAAACTTTCCCTTTTCTCCACAACACACTCTTTATTGCCTACATGTCATCATCCTTTTCCTCATACATTCAAAGCAATATCATGCCAGTGTGAAACTGCTTTATAGAGATAATATAATACTGGTAAATAATTTTCCAGTTTGTTTTTTGCTTGTAGAATTTATAACTATTGTGGAAACTACTCAGCTGTGAAATGAGCAGGTACTGGATAAGAAATAACTTCAGACACAGAAAAGGAAAAAGAAGGAAAATTAAGTTATTCTTGCAGTTAAATATACCACATAACAGATATGGTGACCATCACCTTGACAGACCTAACTGAAATGTTTAAATTAAGACTTTGCTGCTTATGTTAGTAGTCAGTTCCACCACTGAGATAAGTAACACAATCACATTTCACTGTGGATATGTGAAATATCAGCAATAATTAGTTAATAGTCAAAACAGAAAGAATTTTGCACTTTGCTGTAGGCACTGATGGACCTACATGCTATGATCTGCATTTATGTTTCTCCAGAGGTTAAAGATGCGTGAATTATTCCATACTTTGGCAGACAGTTATAAAGAAACTGCAAACACTCAGTAAAATCACAAGAAGGCAGTCCCTACAATATTCCAAGCTGCAGAGTGTTATCACCCATGTATTCCCAAGATAACTAGGAAAAAGTTCATATTCATATGAGATGCCTGAATACAAAGTTTTGAGAATACTTTGTGGAGATCCAGCTAAATATAGATTTAGACAGCATTTTTTCTAAGCCATTAGAGGAGCATAAATCCATGATTCATAGTTGGATTTTGCACAAGAATTTTCCAAAGCTTTGAGGTATATTCTTTCACTATTTGAAGGACAGAATGGAGAACCTGAAAGAATGTCTGGCAACTCAGCCTGGCACTGCTTAGCAGGATCCCAAGAACACCAGAAAGTAGGAAAATGCTGCATCGTGTTCTCTCTTTGCTAAGTTTTGAAAGCAAAAGTGAGCCAAAGGAAGGCTAGAAAGTGGTGAAAATTCTCCAGGCTCCACATGGGGTTTCATTTAAACACTCTGCTGGGATACTTGCAGCTCTGCAGCTAAGACCACAAAAAACACAAGACCACCTGCATCCCTACCATATCTAGCCTTTGCAGTTCATCATGAAAAGCAAGACTTGATAGCTTTTATCTTTTATTATTTAAAAGGGATTGTCAAACGGCATGTCATATCCATCATTCTGTGCTCTCTCTCACACTGAACAAGAGAAAGGAAAATTTGAAACACACTCTGAATGCTTTAATATTCTTTCAAAGAAAGCAAATTTTGTTTGGATCAGTCTCAACTGTTCTACCAGTTATTCCACAGGGGTAATACATATGTCTTCTTCTAATAAATTATGTGAATTTATATGCATAGAAAGTGGAGAAAGTCATTAAAAGGTTTTGAACAGATTTTTCACAAGTTTATATGTCCCATACAAATTGCATTTAAATTTCATTTTGGGAAAACAACATCTGCCCAGAGTAAGCTCACACTTTTTTTCCATTTTGTTAATCAACCACTACTTGAGCAGTTATCCATTATAAGTAACAATATTTAATGTAGCACTTCTTTTCCAAAGCAAACTCTGTGTAGTAGTCACTTCCACTACAGACCTTAATTGTATTACTCTGGGTGCTTAAATTATGCAGCAGTGAAGAAACTTCAGTAAGAAATATGCAGATTAACCCTTACATGGGATTAATCAGTTTAGATCTTCTGCATAATGTAGTCTATATAAACTCAAAACTCCTTATAGACAGATTGTCTTGACTGGAAGATATCAGGTAGATCATCCTTAGATGAGGATTCTCAGGTGTAGCACATCTACACCGGTTGGAAACATCTTCTCACCAAAGGCAAGGAAGCATCTTCAGTCATACCCACAGAGGATAAGCACAACTCTCAAACACACACAGACCTCTTCACCTGCACTGCACCACTAGCTTAATTTCAAAGGAAAGGGAAAATCACTGCAGCATTCACAGCACTCAGTTGGAGGCTCAGGGTATATATGACAGGATTTTGTTTCTTTACTGCCTAGATTCTTATCGGAGCAGTAATTGCCATGGGCTCAGCAGACCGAGATGGTCGTCTCCATCCTGGTGATGAGCTGGTGTATGTAGACGGGATTCCAGTGGCTGGCAAAACCCACCGATATGTGATTGATCTTATGCATAATGCTGCCCGAAATGGGCAAGTGAATCTTACTGTGAGGAGAAAGGTGCTACCCACAGGTGAGTGAAAGCTGCTGTTAAAATAAATAGAGAAAATTAAAGTGAAAGTCAGTGTTCGTGTCATTTTGAAGACAGAATAACTGTAAATGTGTGTCCCTTCTCTCTGTGATAAAAATGCTACCGCTGAGTGTTGTTTCCTTCAGAAGTGGAAACAATATTGGCAACCCTGGTGTGGTGATCATGAGTGCTCTGGATTTGTTCCATGCTTTCTCAGTCTGTGCTGTCTCCTTTTGTCCACTTTTTGGGAAAAAAATGTTCACCTAGGTTAATGCTGTTAAAGCTGGCTGTGTCAAAAAGCAATCAGAGAAAGGCTCAAAGACTGTTAACTGTTTAGGGCAGGAACTCATTTCACTCTTGTATTTGTTAAAAGCCCATTTCTGGTCTCACTGATGTCATCTGGAATTTCCCGCCGACTACAACAGAAGCTGGCTGAAAACCAGCTTGCGTGTATGGCACAAGCAGCTCTTAGGAACAGGGCGGAATCCTCTCTTCAAGTAGACACAATAAATACATAAATCTAAAATGACATGGTCGAGGGTGAGGTGTCCCTGCCCATGGCAGGGGGGCTGGAATAGATGATCTAAAAGTCCTTTCCAACCCAAAACATTCAATGATCCTATGAAGAATTTGAAGTATATTAAACCTTTAGACTAGCTCGGTCTCAATTGTTGAAAATCACTCAAACCTGGGAAAAATGTGTGGCAGTGTCTATTAAAGCTCTAATGGGAGAAATTGCTGCTGTTCCATTGCAACCTTTGCTTATCCACGGAAAGAAGTTTATTTAAGAACTTTTCAAACGTTTGTGGTGGTGAGTAAACTTCACTGAGGCACCAGAAATGAGCAAAACCACTTTCCCAAGCCTGTCCTGTCTTCCGCCTCTCCGTGCCCTAGATCCGCTGTCATTGCCTGCGCCGTTCGTCCCCTGCCAAAAAGCCGCCTTCCCACTCACCCCCGTCTTCGCAGTCCCCCTCCCACTGCGGCACCGCAGCGCCAGTCTCATAGGACTGACTTTCTTCTGTTACTGACTCCAGAGTCCTCCAGCCAGAAAGGTCCCCCTCCGCCGGGCGCGACACCCCCTCGCAGCTCCCCCAGCGCTAGGAAAATGGCCAATAACCAAGGTAATCCGCCGGGCGCTTGCGATTAGCACCTCTCCTGCGTCAGCCGCCTGTACAGACTGCAGGCAAGATTAGCAAGAGGGTTAGCACAGAGTGGATGCCAGCTTTCGCTGCTGCTTGTTTCGTATGAAATGAAAGAGTCTATTAGACACTCTGGTCTCCTGGCACAGAAAGCGAAGCAAGCTGGTGAAACACCTGGAGTTATTCTTGGGCCTTGAGAGTGCCACACCGGGGAGTAGAGTGTGTAACTCATTAATGTTTAAGCATTTCAGGAGCTGAACAGGTTTTAATTTGGTGTGTTACAACATAAGCTTTGTGGGAAAATTTTTGGAACGACCGATTTTGGCAGGAGTGAAAGATGCTGTATTGACACAGCAGGCCAACTGATTCTGTGTGAATTTCTCACCAGCATGAATGTATACAACAGAAGGACCTGGGGCTTTCCTTACCTGCCTGATAACTGATTTACCTATCTCAGCCCTAGCCTGGAGTCGCCATTTTGCACAGATACTTACCTAGATCTGGAACAGAAAATCACTATTCACAAGCTCTAGAAAAAAAATATATATTAGGAAAATGTGGTATTTGGAACACCGCTGATTAAAATGCCATTTTCTTTTCACAGGCAGAAGCAAGAAGTAATGCTTCTGGTGAATATCTATTGCACAGCTGACAATCAATATCCATTTACACTTTTCCTCCTTTATCTTTCTTTTCCTATACTTAATGGTATTCAGTTGCATTCTTTTATGGCCAAGCTAGCTCTTGGTCACTCTTCAGGGTAAGATAATCTCCTTTCTGTTGCAGCCATACTGACATAAACAATATTCAGCTTTCTGAAACATGACAGCCAGAAAATGAGATCTCTCTTGTCACTGACTATGGCATTTAGTTGCAGATTTGGTTCAATAACTCTTGAAGATTTTCAATTCTAATGCAGGAGTATAATAATTGTTTGTTTTTCTTCCTCTTTATTCTCTCTAATCACTTTATTTCATAGTTGCAGAAGGACTGCTAAAGGACACACCTGACTGAGAAAACAACAGCTTGTCCTTGAATGATGTTCATGTTATTAATATATACACACTGAAGGTCTGATTTGCAAGCTCTCTTCCTAGGATGTATGTGTGTATGCAGAAGCTCTTCACATGTTCAGTAGAATGGCTGACACTCTCATTGCTCCAAACAGAAAACTTACATTCACCTAATAGTTCTGTATTAAAACTGTCAATACATGCTCAATCATGTAAACTGCTTAGGTCTGTGAGGAATGTAAATCTTTTTTCCCATCTGGAAGTGTAACTTTACTGTTTTCCATTGCCAAAATATTGGTACTAAAGGTGTGTAATCCCTCAAGATTTAACTTTTTCCTTGTTCCCATTACTACAAAGTGATACTGAAGTGTGGATGGGCTCCATTTTCACTTCTGCCCTTACAAACTTGCCACACAAGAGCATCTTTGAAGCCTTTAAATGACCACCTCTTCTGTCACGACACCCACAGAAAAACTGCTTGTGATTATTTTTCATTGTGTAACTACTCAGTTCCATGAACATCTTTTGAGTATGCTAATCAACTTGTAAGACGAACATTATGCAGCTAATCCTAATTACTCTATGTTAGCTGCCTGCTTAAATTCTTTTAATCCCAACACAGATAATTTTATATTGGATTAGACAGTCACATTTTCCTCCTCATGACAGATCAACCATCAGACAAGGGAGTAATGCTTGCTAATGGTTTTGCAATCCAGATAGCCAGTGTTTCTTACTTTCCTCTCTTGTAGATAGCTTAGCAGTGAGTGTTCATGCTTACTTTATCTGATTACTCTTCAATGTTTTGCATAATTGTGTAGATTCTTGTCTCTCTGCATCTATTACAGCTCCTAGTTTAATACTTGTAGTAGTCTAGGCTATAGACAGTCAACTGTATTCATATTGCATTAGCAAATGTACCGTAAGTCACCAGGACACTGAGCAAGTCAGACTGTAATACTGGTGTGATTTATGTTGTAGGAGAACCGTGCCCAGAGAATGGCAGAAGCCCAGGCTCAGTGTCTACGCACCACAGTTCTCCAAGAAGTGACTACACTACTTATGCTAACAGTAATCATGCTGCCTCTAGTAGCAATGCTACACCGCCTGAGGGCTTCACTTCTCACAGCCTGCAAACCAGTGATGTGGTGATCCACCGCAAGGAGAATGAAGGCTTTGGCTTTGTTATCATCAGTTCCCTGAACAGGCCTGAATCTGGGTCCACAATAAGTAAGTAAATCACATTTTTTAGTTTATATTTTTCCAAGTTTGCCCAGAATTAATCTGCTAATTAATTACTGCAGAGATTAAAACTGAAGAGACTCTTAAGGGTGTTTCCAGGATCATGGTCTGTTGTGCCTTGGACAAACCCAAAGGTTATTCTGGCCTCTGAGGCTCTGTGCTTCAGATACTTACTTGGTACATTATGACTGATCCATGAAGTAGATTTTCTGTGTTCCTATATCCCAAAGAGACACTGCAAGTAATCAATGGGGTTATATGAAAAAATTATTCCCCACATGCAACTGAATTACGCTTTTTCTTAATCTTTTTCTAAATCAAGATGAAGTTCAGGAAGTTGAAATAAAAGCTTAGATCACAGCAAGCCCCAGCACACCAGCTGTCCAGTTAGGGCATTGCAAAAGCAACTGGAAAACAGGAAAGCTGGTTAGACACAGTTGCAGATAGGTTGTTTTTTTAACTACCTGGTGTATAGATAGTGCAAAAGGTACAACTGAGTACAGAGAGTGGATGTATATAATGGCAGGATCTGCCCTTAATAATTACAGCTCACTTTCTGTCCAGAAAATAATATTTGCTGGGGCTCAACTTTATTGCTTTTATAGAGGCATCAGGAGTCTTTTGAGATGTCAAAGGTATACCTAAGGAGAGGTCAGGCAGATGTGATGTAGGACCTGCAGGAGTCTTAGGCCCTTCGGTAGTGGCCGCTGGAGGCATAGGGCTTCCTTCATGTGTTTGAAATGGCATTTAACCAACTGACAGCTGAGACCATTGAAAGGAGGAAGCATAAAAGGCTTTCTGCTGGGAGACATCCACATCTCCACCAAATCCCTCTCAAACTGTGAATCCTAACTGAAAAATGCTAACTGCAGAAAAACCAAGACAAGTGAGAACATTTGCCATTTTGCAAGTTGCAGCTTAATGCAACATGTTTTGAAGGAGCTAGTCTTTGCCCAGAACTGTTTCCTGAAGAAATAATATCACAATTTCAACTTTTAGGGCCAAGCTTCACTCTTCTAAAGTCATAACAGAAATACAACTAAGCAAGTACTGAAAAGCCATATCTCACAACAGCAAACGATCTCAGAAAAGTTCTTTGTAGTATTTCATGATCATGCACTTATTCAAAGAGCTGCTTTTCCTACTACCTCAGCTGAATTTTAAAATTCCACGATTGCCAGAATTCCACAGAATTAATATTGTAACAAAACCATGGTTAATTAGTCTCTTGGGACTCTGAGTTTTCACTTTATTGAATATAATAGCCAACTGGAGGTTCTCTGAAGAAGATCAGACAAGAAAAAAATATCCATAGAGGACCCTGAGATTCATACATATTCATCAGTTAAGTCAGCTGCAAATTTCTCAAGAAAATTATTTCACAGGTCCAGTTTGTGGTTTGGAGAGATGGAGAGGGAAAGGGGAGAGGAAGAGGAAGAGAAAATGCCCAACCGAACAGAAATTCTGTGACTGGAGTATTCTGCTGAAGACAGCAGACCCAAGTTCAAGATCCTGCTTTGCTGCCTATCCTCTAACATGTTCCAGTGGTACTTTCCTTTCTCCCCTGGCAATTATATGTAGCCACTGTTGAACCTCAGCTGAACATCTCCAATAGTAAAGTGATATGACAGTCTGCTGTGGAAGTGACAAGTGAATTTATTCAAATAATAACTGAATTGAATTTCAGTGATCCAAAGAGCACCCAAATCCTAAGTTTAGAAGAACAGCAATGAACAAAAACATGACATTTGCTGTAGACAGTGACAGAAGAAAGAAGAAAATACCCTTTCTATGTGAATTCTGTTGCAAAACTGTAGTAGAAAAAATAAACTGAAAATTGCATAATCTGTCATCAGGAATAAAAACAGTCTAAAAATCATTGACTGTTTTTAGTTTAAGGAAGGTTAATTTTCTTTACTTGATTTTTATTTGGGTGAATTAATTTGGGCTGAATTAGTGGGAGCACAGCAAGTAGACTGAGGGGAAATTATTATCCCCCTTTACCCAGCACTCATTAGGACACATCTAGAATACAGCATTCAAGTTTTAGGCCTTTTGGTAGGAGACAGAACAGAAAACCGGCAGCAGCAGCCACTGAGACCTCCTGAGGTCTGTTCCAGCTTGAAATAACCTGAAATACTTTGATTAAAATACACAGGGACAGAAAGCATATTAACAGTAGGAAAGTATCAACCAGATATAGGAGGTATAATGTCCAATATATAGCTTATATCAATATTGAAATATACATCTGCATGGCACCATGTCAAGCACCTTGTAGTCACTCACTTCATAGAAATAGTATGTTGATTTGGTGAAATGTTGTACTATAGTTCCAGTGTTTCTAGTTTCGAAATCAGTGATCTCGTTGCTAGCTGATATATCCCCACATGGCACAGAATGTTACTGTGCAGACGTACCCTAATCATAAGCAGTTAAATGTTAATGTTGTAATTGCAAAGCAACTCTGAAAGAATCAAAATGGGTAAAAGAGGTCAGAAAAGGGAACCTCCTGTTGTGCCAGACGCTACTAGGAATAGCATAGCCTAAGAAGTTGTCTCACTGGGAGCATCCTCAGGGCAAAGTGAAAAAGAGTTCCTTTGACTTAAGAATGTTTATTTTGATAACTCTATTCCCTTCTCTACTTTCTTGTAAAACCAAAAGACTTGAGGACTTGGAAGTGTAATCATCACTTCTACTCAAGAAGGTAATTAATCATGCAATGAAAGTATTTTCCTTCTTCTTGAAATTACACTTATAAACTATGTTTTACAGTCCAGCAAATTACAGTAGCTCTTTCTGAGACTGAGCCTTGTGTCACTAGCTGCTACCGCTTCAAGAACTGGTGAAACTGTAGACATTCCAATAGAGTTCCTACTTCCAGGTTCATGGATTTGCTGCTTTGCAGGTGACCTGAAGCTCAAGGGTTTCCAAGGGGTTACAGAAAAGCTCACCCTCTGTTTTCCAAGTGGGTTAAAACTAGCTCTGTCTGTGAAACTGTAGGACCACCCCATGAACTCAAAGTAGCAGTGCTCCAAGTCTTATATCCCTTTCTCACATAGCCTTCATGCTCTCTGACCTGCAGAAGGGCTACAAAAGGCTCAAAAGCAACCAGAATTAAGGATGTCATTGTGTTCCAAGAAGCTTAAGGTCTTGGTCAACTTTTCTCTCTCTACACTTTGCAAGGAGTTTGTTGTTACTGTTGATTTACAGACTTTGCCTTGCAGGAATTTTCAAAATACAAAGTGCGTTTTTTTAACCCTTGATCCAGGCACAGAGAGGGCAGGCTACAGACATAATCAGGAATAGAATATGTTTTCACATGTTGTGATAGGCAGCACTGTAGTAGCTGTCATTTTAATAACCCACTGTTAAGTAGTTTGGAGCCAGCCTTTAGATGGGGATATACTTTTTACTTACTGGTGCTTGCTTAAACGTCCAGTTCTTGTGGCAAATTTCTTTTCCTGTGTTCTGTAACAGTAGAAAAGACTCCCCTTTGTCAAAACATTGCTTGGGATTTTCTCTAATCCTGCACAGGGAATTATCTTGAACCAAACTACAGTTCTGCTGTGGGGAAGATCAGGAGTGGAAAATGAATGAAAAGGATTGAATGAAGGGATTTCATAGGGCAAAGCAGGGGCATAGACAAGGTCAGCCATGCTATCAAAGAAGATAAAGTGGATAAATAAAGAACTGTGCTTGAATGGTATAACCAGGAGCAAGCTGTTTTGGCTAGTGAAGAGCACAGAGAATCTTAGAGTACTAAGAGATTAAGAAAAGAAAATACACCTGCCCAGCCTCCTGACCTGTTCCTAGTGAAAGGATTAACTTCCACTGCTCCTAAAACATGTCATCATGTTTTCCTCCAGGCCTCATCCCTAAATTAAAGGGTGCTTTGGCTTTTGTCCCCTCTCCAGACAAGCCACCTAAATTTGACTTTACTCTGTGCTTTCTTTTGCTATGCAGGCTACAAATAGTTTATCAGAATTTTGTCACCTCCAGTGGGATTTCTCTTGAGGACTCAGTGTCATGTTCCTACCAGAGTGCTTGGAAGCTGACTCTAGTCTTTCACTTTTAGTATGGGATGAATCTGGACTGACGTAACCTCACAGCTCTGTGGAGAGCTGCCTTTGCCCACCAAATTACGATCTTTTAGATGCCCTGATTCATTGTGGAGTTAAGTGGCTAGACTGAGCAAACTACAGCCTATCTATGAAGTCCTGTCCTGAGGAATACCTTCGTGCTTCCCCCTCTAAAAATACTCGCATGATGTGTGGTTGTATGAGGAAGGGCTCCTCCTGGGGCTGTCCTCTCCAAGTCCCCAACACATGAGGGTATGAAGATGCAGCAGTGCCTGTGGTAATGTCTCACAGATAGTGTTGTGCCATATTACAGCTAAAATAATGAAGTTGAATTAATTAATCTACCCTGTGAATTACATTTAGGATAATACTAAATAGTGTGTGTCCTCTGTGGTAAAATTCCATTTTTATGGAGCTTTTTAGGGTGTCAAGACAAGTTCATTATCTGCATCTCATGGAAAAACACTTGCACCCAGCTGGACATAGCCAAAGGAGATTTCTAGATTAATTTGTCCCAGACCTTTATGGAGTACACTTGCCCCTGCCTACTTTATATCTTCCTGCTGCTTTTACTTTATGTGTTTGGAATGCAGCTTCCTCAAAGACAAGAATTTGTGATCCCCTATAAATGTCTTAACACCCTAATTTCTGTAGAAAGAAACCATGTGTTGTAAACAGATTTTGTTACAGGGAACTTCCAGTGAAATTGGAAAATTGGCAATATTTCCATGAATTTTACTGTGGCTGGTACTGTCAGCACAATTATAAGGTGCATTCTTGTTACGATCTTCCTCCTGCTTAGCAAAAGAGGAGGTGTAGATTTAATTTACCCCTACACTGCATATGCCAGTGACTGCTGGATATTCAAAACATGATAAAACGGACTGTAATGAAAGAAGATTCTCT